TTGCACTGTTAGAGTTGTGAATACTCCCAAACACTTATAAAAACTATCATGTTTCATGTCCAGTAAGGAATATTTATGGTCTGAGTCAAACAATGTATCATATAGGTGTCAAAGCAGCACTTGAGAAGAGTGGCAACAAACTTGGAAGACTCTTAGTGCTTGGTACCCCTGCAGAAGAAGGAGGTGGTGGAAAGATCTACATGATCAATAATGGATGCTTCAAAGATGTGGATTTCAGTATGATGGTGCATCCATGTCCCTTTGATGCAATAGGAGCTCACAATTTGGCCATCAGTCAGCACACTATTACGTTTAAAGGATACGCCGCACATGCTGCAGCATTTCCCTGGGAAGGAATCAATGCATTGGATGCTGCAGTAATGGCATACAGCAGTGTCAGCATGCTGCGGCAACAGATGAAGCCCACGTGGAGGGTCCATGGTGTGATTCTTGAAGGAGGAGTCAAGCCTAATATAATACCAGATAAAACAGTTATGGAGTATTACTTGAGGGCTCCTAATAAAAACGAACTAGAAGAACTGCGAGCAAAAGTGTTTCTTTGTTTTGAGGCAGCAGCAAAGGCAACTGGTAAGTTATTTAGAGGATTTCTGGTCATAATATTTTGCTAAAAAAGGTGTGTCCCTAATAAAGATATAGAAGTTTACGATTTGTTGTGAAATGTGATCGTCCGGGTGAGTGTAGTCTTGAGAAAGACTGTTGTTGGTGGTGACTGACATTTCGACAACCTGAGCAGAAGTCATCTTCAGAGTTTTATACCTCTGATGTGGTCATAATGTAAACGGTAATAAGTCGGTATTGTTATGTTAAGATACGTGGGTGTTATCACAAGTCGCAGTCATTTGTTTGAGGTCGTTTATAAGTCTTTTGTAAGGTGCCGGTAATTGTTGACTTCAGTAAAGCGGTTTTTGTTCTAAGTTTGTATACCAGGTAGTTGGTGCTATATGTAATACATGTAGCAGAGTCCCAGTCAATGTTGTGTCCATTGTCCTTGTGATGTTCATCGATGTGACTCTTAAATTTACAATTATTATTTCAAATTTACTAAAAACATGAAAGCATGGTTCTAGTTTACTTATGAATACTTGCAACACTGTAACTTTTCAAGTGTTCACTGAACACTGAACGTTTGCTCCATTACACTTGCTGTTCTTTTTTGTTTCGTTTTTGTTTGTTTGTTGTTTTTTTACTTCAGGAACAAAATGGAAACACTATTCCTTTTCCATCACTTTTTTCTATATAAATATAGATTATGATAAATATAGTCACAAGACTTCAAGACTTCAAGACTTCATACTAACATGGGAGATATACCGTATGTTTTTTTTTTAGGATGCACAGTTAAAATAGAAGAGCCTTGTTTACCATACGCAGAGTTGAATACCAACCCTAAACTAGCAGATGTGTACAAACAGCATGCAGAGAGTATGGGATTCAAGTATTTGTCCAAGGAGGAAGAGAACAAGTTGCCATTGGGTTCCACTGACATGGGAAATGTATCTTATACAGTTCCTTCGATTCACCCCTTGTACAGTATCGATACAACCGCACCCAATCATTCTCATGCCTTCACTGCAGCCGCAGCTACTGATGCTGCTCATCACAAAACTATCATTGCTGCAAAGGCGATGGCAATGACTGCTATTGAGGTCATGAGCAATCCAGACACTTTGAAAATAATGAAATCTCAGTTTGAACATTCCAAATGATTTTAATCAAATATTTTTGTTCTAAGAATTTGGAAAGAAATTTATCATGAAAAATGCAGGACTTAAAAAGTCACGAAAAAAATGACTAGTTGTAGACAACGACCACAGGTTGAGGATAGCTTTAATCAATAGTCGAGAAAAATACACCATTCGAGCGCAGCTCAAATTGTATTGCCGTAGATTTATTAGCGATTGAATTTTTTATCACAACACGATTATGAAACTGGTTCGAACTGAAATAGAGATAAAAATAACTATATTAATTTGAAAGTAATTAAACTGGCTATTATACGTTGGCTATATGTAATATTGTTATTTATTTTTTGGTTTGTTTATTGACTGACGGACGGACGGACCGACTGACGGACGGACGGACCGACTGACGGACGGACGGACCGACTGACGGACGGACGGACCGACTGACGGACTCATTTTAAAGCGCTTTTTAAAGTATATCCACATGGAAAAGTGCGCTATATTAGCCGTTCCAAGGTTGAGAAAAAAAAGCTCCCACAAGTTCAAGACAGCATGCAAAATACGTGGGACTGACTTTGACGAGGATAGAACCCCGAAACAATTTAAGGACTGATGTAAGTCAGGGAAAGGCTTACTCCCAGATGGAATTTGAATCCGCTTGTTAGGTCATTGTAAGTTATTCCGAAGGGAGAAAAAAAACTAGAGAACCCGGAAAAATCAAGAGATCTAACAAATTATTATGGCTAATCACAAGTAACGGCACGTCCAGGAATCAAGCGTTGTAATGATTCAAACCCTATTCAGTGATGTTTGAAAGAGTAATCTTATCTTAGTCTTTAAAACCCCGATTCCTTGTCCAAAAAGAGCTGAAACCGGTATAACAGGTAAATCAAGTTCCTCAACCAGATTTTTGCTCTTAAAGTTCTCCACTGTATCTATTTTGTTTGCCACAACTGCAGCAGGTCTTCGTGACAAACCTTCTTTATAAAGTTCTAATTCTTGCTGTAATGAAGAGAATTGTTTCAGTGGATCGTTCTGTGAGATGTCCAGGACATAGAGAAGGCATCGACAACGCTCTATGTGCCGTAAAAAGGAATGTCCAAGACCTTTGTTGAGATGAGCACCTGAAATTAGCCCAGGTATATCTGCAACTAGAAAAAGAAAATTTAAAGAGGGTGGTGTTAAAATGATGTTGAGATGTTTGTTACGAGAAAAAAATCTTTAAATTTGATCCAATACCCTGAAACAACATCTGGTTGACACTCAAGCCTCGGACGGACCAAACACTCAGGGTCTTAAAATAACTGAGGAGAAAGTGCTGTCTTTGTAATTACATCTGCAAATGGTTAGACTTTCAAGTGACTCGGATGACCACCGTCTCTCCACACTCATCATTACTAACCAACATAGGAGGGACGTAAAAGAACCACTGAGGACGTAAAGAAACCCTGGCAGTGATCACCCTGAGCCTACAACTCATGATAGTAATAATACTACCACGTCTCTCATTTTTGAAAGCGCCTTTGATCATATCCACATGGAAAAGGGCACTATATTAGAACTTAACCCTAATAACGTTCCGTACTTTAACTACCACAATCATTTTCAAAATAAATTTTCATATTCAAATGTTAAAATTCTTTTTTGGGAATACCAAGACAATAGTGAAAATTAGTATGACAAAAAAGCTACAGAAAGGGAGACTGGACTAGTGTAGGTATGAAACGTACTCATAATTGAGGTCTATGCCGTCCCGAGGTTAAGGAAAAACTGGGTCGAGTGTGGGGATGTTTTATGGTTCCAAGATGGCGTCTATTTTGTCAATCTTGAACCCAGAGCCTACGACACGTTTCTCCTGGCCTGTGGCAAAGAATAAGGGCTCTGGCATAATCTATTTTTTTTTGAGAACAGGATTTCTTGGACTTCCGGTATAAGAGCGCATGCATTAAAAGACTTAAAATAAAATGAATATGTTCCCGATTTCTAATTTTTATGTTGTACGGAAGTAAACACATAACTCTGTTTGACAGCATGATTTTCATTGATTATATTTCATTTCCGGGAAATTGCGCATACGTCAAAAATGGATTATGCCAGAGCCCTCGTTCTTCGCCACAGGCCAGAAGAAACGCAGGCTCTGGGTACGAGATTGCTATTTTGTCCCCACAAACATAACCACAATGCACTGTAATGCAAACTCGAACCAGTTTTTCCCTCGACCTGGGACTGACTAATGAACCATCAAACTTTCAATCAATCAGTCACACCTGCAATTTGATGGTAATCATCRTACTCTATCATTCCAACATATGGATTGAGTGTTGTAAAGGGATATGCCGCAACAGCTGGTTTTGCTTTGGAAATAGCCCTCAATAATGTAGATTTACCAGCATTCGGGAAACCAACCTATATCAGGAAATAGGCAATTAATTAGTAGAGAATTCCAGGCCTTGTTAATCAAGGGTGGTGTRGTGGCAGTGCATTTGTTTCTCACCTCTGGGCAGGAGCGTAGCGAGGTCCCAGAAATTGGGGGAGGGGGGGCACCCAGAATATAAAATTGAAAAAACAACAAAAAATCAGAAACAAGCATTTCTATTCATTTTATTCACTTTTCTGCATAATCTTCCAAAAAAATGTATTGCAAAGTTTAATGTTGAACAGCAAGCTATTGTCTTCTATTATGTTTTCCCAATATGAATTCCATTAAAATATTCAATTTTACATTTTCTGCCATTTCTTCCATCTTATACATTATGAGTTAACACTTTGCTTTCATTTGCAAGGAAATGAGAAAATTGGAATGGAAAATTGGCAAGATAAATGGGATTGAATATGGGAATAAAAAGCCAGGGTGACAAAATGGGAAAGCAAAAATGGGTAAAAACAAAATGGGGATGACAAAATGGGAAATGGAATAGGAAATAGAATAAGATTATTATTAACAACTTTTCTTACCAATCCTACATCAGCTATCGTCTTTAACTCCAGCTCAATTACTTTCTCTTCACCAAGAGTGCCAGGAGTAGCAATCTCAGGTGATTGGTTAGTTGCTGACTTAAAATGAGCATTTCCCAACCCTCCCCTCCCCCCATGAGCAATGACTGTGTGTTGACCCTCTGTACACATGTCTGCTATGACGGTTTTGTAGTGTGTTGCAACAGTCCCAAGAGGCACCTGGAAGTATACAGTTATTGTTAAACCATAATGAAATAAATCAAAATAACTTTTGAACAAGAATTTTATATTTCATCTACATTTTTTGATTTATTTAATTTGTAGTTGACTGTTATTCTTTAAAATAACTTTTGTTGACAAATAAAGAAAGTACAGCATGTATATCCGTTATAATATTATTACATTCATTTCATTTCCGCAAGGCCCATGCTATGGATTAAGGACTGTCCATATTTTATGGCTTGGGGGATGAGTGGGGATGAGTAGGGAGTAGGTGGCTTAGCCTGCATCACATCCGGGATTTTCTTCCTAAATACCACAGTATTTACGAAGAAAATTCYGRATGTGATGCAGGCTATAGGGTGGCTATGTGGATTCTGAGTTTCAAATATGACACCCTTTTGGCATCACATCAATATCTTTACGAAACAAAATATTTAATTTCTTTTATAATTAGAAAGCATTCATGAATATAAAATATACCCCTCCCCCCATTATTTCAATGAACTCTCTTTGCTTGTAAAACATCTGCAGCTGCCCCACAAAAATACACTTAGGGAAAGCTCACTGCTCTGAAAAAAATACCTGGCCAAGGTTCTAAAAAATATCAAATTTTTTAGTCATTAAAATTTCATGAAAATTAAGTTCAGGCCAACGGTAATATCATGCAATTTTAGTTTCTAAGATGATACCTACTTTAATGAATAAATTGGATGCAGTTCTTCCATGACAGTCATTTTGTTTGCCACCTTCTCCATCTCCTGCCTTGTTGTGTTTCTGAACATGCGCTAGTTCTTTGTATGAAGCATCTGCAACAAGGAGGACACTTCCTCCGTGTCCACCATCACCACCATCAGGACCTGCTCTTGGCTGACATCTAAAATATATAAAACAAAAATAAATGGATGGATAGAATCATGAATAGATAGATGGGTGGATTATACATCAGGACTTGATTAGGTAGCAGATCCAGGGGTGGTTCTTTAGGTTTCATGGAATCCCCCTCCTCTGTGAAGCCAATTATGTTCTTTACACTCAGTAAAATGAAATTGCAACCCCTGCCCCCATCCCCTCCCCCCTTGTAAAGCCGATTGTGCCAGCTTTTTCTGTGTGGTGGCCATTTTTGAATCCCCCTTTTAAAACCCTGGATCCGCCACCGCTGATCTTGGCTGGTGTCTTATAATTATACTTCTCATAATCATTAATAATTCATGAGGAAACCAGCCAATGAATGGGCTATTTTTTGGGTCACATGATGTTACTTGAAACCTGGTAAAGTCCTGTGAAAGGACTGAAATAATTTGGTTCAAGTCTTTGGAAGGGATGAATATCTGATAGTACGAATGAGTTATTAATAAAAAGAAGGGATGGTTGGATGGATGGATGTATAGATGGATAGGTGTATGGATGGATTAAATAATAATTAAATGAATGAATAAATGCGTAGTTCCAGAATTTATTCATCCCCCCCCCCCCTCCAGGGGTTGAAGGGGAGGGGGAGGGTAAGGATAATTTCTGGAACTGCGCAACAAAATAAACGAGGGATAGCTTGTTGCTTACTTTTTTCGTCTGAAATGGGCACTTCCATCCCCACCATTACCAGCCTTGATCACAATCTTCTTCCAGTCTATGAACTGCCGATCCTAAAAATAAAAAATAAAAAATTTAGTTTCAAACTGTCATTTAGATTGTTCTTGTGAAATACTTAATAATTATTTAAAAATCAAGGGTGGTGTAGTGTTAGTACAATCGACTTTTTGTAATACCTCAGGGTTTTCAGGTTTGATACCTAGTCTTGGCATGATCACATGCGACTAGATAGAGATTGTTAGGTCTCTTCCTAATTGACTCAAGATAATTTTCCCCCTGATATTCTCAAGTCATGCATTCTTCTCTATGCAACATCCAACATACTAAATTTCATTCTATCTGTGAGTAAGCCTTGCCCTCATTTTCTTCAGCCAAAATAAAATTCGCGAAGTTTTGAAGGTTAAACAGGTAAATAGGTTTTTAGTCTCTTTGTTTGTTTTAAAAATACAGCAGGCTACAAGGAGAGAAAGCAGTAAAGACGTGTTTAGAGAATCATGCGCAGCTGAATAGGGGCATCTACATGTGTATTTGTCATAATTAATTGTCGAGCTGTCCTATTAATCTTTAAAACAGTCACCTTTTGAGTTGAGCAGTAATGCCTCCATACAGAATATGTTAGTGTCCTGTGGTACAATTTCATATTTGGTTTGGATAGTAAAATATTTCTTAAACCATTATTAAACTAATGACTTTGAAGTGCGTCATCATCTATAGGTAATAAATATCAATGATATGATGATGATCTTATGATTAAGATACTATGGAAGAGTGGTCACTCAGCTCTGTTGTGGATATCCACTGACCAGTTGTGACTGCATACTACAGACAAGAAAAATGCAACATGCAAAAATTATGTCTGACATTTACTTAGCATGCATGTAAATAATGATGATGATGATGATGATGATAAGGCTTGGATGCTAAGCATCAATAGTGCTGTTGTTTAGCTTYATGATGGACATCCGCTGACCAATTTAGCGCCCGCGTTCTAAGTGTAAAAAAAAAATCCACAAAATGGGAAAAATGCGATCAAAGCGTGCAAATATCATTAAAGACTAAGTATTTTATCATYATTGTATTCAAATTTTACGTAGATGTTGGCGATGATGCTCAGATTCAAACGATAAAAATAGTGACTTGTGGTTTGTGGTGAATATCCACTGACCGGTTTGGTGCCCGCGTTGTGAGGTTGTTTACAGACGAGAAAAGGTAGGAAAAAACATGGCGGCCAAAGCAAGTTCCACGTGGTATCCTGGATGATAGCAGCTCTGAAGGCATTCAAAACCACAAATTACGACTCCCACTCCTTGAAGAAATGGCCACTTCACGGAGACCAAAGCGTCGAACCAGTCAAAGATGCCTGGTAAGTGCGATAACTTTTTATTAAGTTAACACCAAGCGATCTCCCCTTCGTTTCCTTCTCTTCTCGTCTCGTCAACACGAAGATTGCGAACACGTTTTAAAAGCTTCGATTTTAGGCCAAAACTTTATTGTCCCCTGTGTCGATATTCAAATATGTTGCTTTTTTATTTGCTGGAGATTGGGCGCTTTATTTTGAGATTAAATATTGAATAAGTTGGTCTAATCTTAATGATATTCCTCTGAATTGAAAACTGTATTGCACTTCCTTCTCAAACAAACTTTCCTTTATCATTAGCCACTATCGTTTTTCGCACCACTTCGTTCGAAAATTCATCTTTAATGGCTTATGTGAATGACCTTTTTAGTGTTTCTTTAGCGAAAAAGAAGATATTATTTATTTTAAGAAGAATAAATGTTGTTTTTGACGTTGCTTTTTAGCTTCAGCGCTTCTTGTCAGAACACGACTTTGATCTTCTTACCTTTCGTTTAAAATCTCATACAGTTAATCTTATAACGTAGTCTTCCGTTCCGCGTTCAAAATATAAACTCTAAAAGCCCTAACAATCCTCTTAGATCCGTGAAATCATTTATTACATAAATAAAATCAAAACTAGAATCTTTCGTGGTTTATTTAGTTAAATCTTCATAATGTAAAGATCAATGAGGCTTTATTTTTCACACCTCCAACAAATTTGTTTTCATAAAGTCAATTGTGCTTTAACGTTTTTGAAAGAGCTATTTTACCTACTACGGTTTTTATCATTGAAAACAAAATACATGAAGAACAATCAAGTTGAGCACGAAAAAGAAAAATCATGAAGAAGTCCTACTATGTTATAGTCAAAATATCAAACTTTGAATCTTCCTCTTTATAAAATAGAAACGAATGTGAGAAATTTTCACAATTATGGGCGTATTTTAACAAACTACTTTCAAGACAGGTGCTAAGTTTTTCATCCATTAGTATATTTTCTTTTCTTTTTTAAAATCGTTTATTATCAGAAGGTACTATTGTACTTCTCTTTCCTGTTAATTATTTTTATTTTTGATTGATTTTCTTTTTAAAATATAGTTTTGTTAAATATTGACTGTCTGTCTTTTTTTCTTTTTTTTTTGGTTCTTTCAAAGGTGTGAAATAGTTTTTGAAAAAAAATCGCATTTTTGTTCTCAAAAAGTTTGTTAGGAGTATAAATTTAGACATCTTTTTTGCTAATTTGCGATTTTAGTTTTTGAAACTCTATGTTAATAGCAGTGATCTTTATAATATTTAGATGGCAAAATGTTTCATTTTATACTCATATATTCATTTTGTTATTCTCATTCATTCATTTTTACTTTCTTTCTATCTGTCTTTCTTTCTTCCTTTCTTTTTTTCTTCCTATCTTTCTTCCTTTTCTTTCCTTCTTTCTTTCTTTCCCTCTCTACTTCATTCAACCTGAGAGTTAAGAATAATATTACACACATACGATATTGAATGGTATACTGTTAGTATGTCATTGAAAGTGGGCCAATTTGGAAACTACTATCCATACTTTGTGAACACTTCAAGTTTTTTCAGGTTATTGTCCCCTAAGCTGTAATGTTTTATTACCCCTTTACAATGAAGCATCAATCTTAATTCCAATCATTTAGTTCAAGGGATAATTCAGAGTATGCATTTCATAAAGTGACAATACATTTCTTTGTAAATAACTTCATATTTTACTCTTTTTCTATTAAGCCCAAAGAACCTCTTAGGGACTTAAAGAAAATAACTTGTGGTTAGAATTATTTTTATGGTATCTTTTCTTCAATACTGAGTACAAAACTAGCAGACATTTTGATTACAAGATACAAAGAAATGTATGGAGCAATGTTTGGTGTTGAGTGATGATGTCACAGACTCCTATAAAAATTCACTAAAATATAATACTTCCCATCCGAATATTAGGAAAAACTTTAACCAGTGATTATTACACCTTTAAGGGTTATTCCAGTAAAGTTTCAGCTGAATTAAAATTTGGATGATAGTCCCCCTTTCATCAATTTTAATAGAATTTCATCATATATTTTTTCTATACAAATCCTACCTATTGATCACAGTGGAGACCATTTTGGAGGACAGCACAATAGATTATACATAATGATAAAAAGGTAAATTATACACCATGAGAAGATGAAAAAACTTACTGAAATTTCAGACGCTAGTCCTTCGTTGGAGTACTCCGACGTATAATTTACCTTTTTATCATTACTGTTTAATTAGAAACACCGAGGCAGCTCACACTAGTTTTTAGCTAGTTATATCTTCAGACTATACGTATTATGGAGATTTTAAATGTTGCATTGCAAATTCCTGACTAAACATCTTTAATGCATGGCTGACAAATCAAGAAGTAATTTATAATTTTGTAAGTGGATTAATGTTTTTTGATGGATATGTCAGGTAAATTATTGTTAGAAAACTGAAACATGATATTTCTGATCTTTTTCTGTAAATTTAACATGCCACTTGCCTATTTGTCACTTACATGTAAATTAACTATTTCCTGTAACTTTAATGATCTATTAATATTTAATACCATTTGAATTATTAATCTAATGGCTTAAAGTTACAAAATAGAATCTTTGAAATATTTTTGTGTCACTTGAAAAAAAGAATCTAAGGAGTATAAGATGTGTGCGCATGTCTCTGTACTGTTTTATAAATGTGCTTGGAGGTACAGAGCATGAGAGAAGCAAGCTTACTAACACAAGTTTTTCTCTTGCTTCTTGAGTGCTACTAGAGTGTTTATACCACAGTACAGTACCAGAGACAGAGACATGCACACACATTTTATGTTGCTTTAAAATATCTGTGGCCCTATACATCGATGTTGATGTCTATACCTCCTCTGGGGTGTGGGGTATTGGGACTTCTAATAATACCTCTATTATTAAGCAACATGAGCACTGACACACTAGGACAGGTATGCATCATTATAACTAATGCTAATTAAAGGTTATAATGTGGTCTGTCATAGGAATACAATAATGGACTCTTACATGAAGAAGAGCTAGCAATCCGCAGAGCACTTCAAGCTTCCCTAAATTCTTCAAAACACAAATCGGATACACCAACAATAACAAGCAAGTATGACAAAAACTCCTCTGATTCACCTGATTCCACCAGTATGACCACAAAAGAACAACTTCAAAACAACAATAATCTAGCAAACATCAAAGAAACGCATACCAAAAGAAAAAAGACAAAGGACAACCTTATAAGTGAAGATGGAACATCAAAAAGAAGTACGACCCCAACAAAAACAACCAAAAAGCAAAACTTATTAAAAGATGCCAAAATAACTAGATCAAGGAGCTCCTCCCAGAATTCTTCCATCACTTCCAATAGTTCACATAGCTCAAGCTTTAGAAATTCCTCTTCTAAACGATCAGTCAAAAGTTCTTCAAGTGCTTCTCAAACTAGTACTCCAAGTCCAAAAATTAAAGAACTATCTCAGAGGAAGCTGCATAAGAAAGAGAAAATTGCTATTAGAGTGAGGAAAAAACTTTTGAAAGACAAAATCTTGAAGGCAGGAAAAGGTGCTACTAATGTTAGTGATTGTGAAAGTACAAAGTCAAGTTTAACTGTTGGTGGAAATACAATGCCCAGGAAGGCTAAAAGAGGACGAAAACGGTAAGAATTTAATTTGTAGTTGCTTGTGACTATTCTACCAGGATTTGTTTTATTTGTCGTTGTTGAGTCATGCAAAGCTCTCCCAATTCACCTTTTTGGCGCTAGCCGTTACAGGGTATAAATTGTCTTAAGATTATGTTACAGTCACCAAAAAGTTCGAACTACATCATTCTCGAATTTCTGTACAAATGTACTGACTCTAAATGAACTATTTACTTGATTAATGTTTAGTTAGTTCTCTAAATACAAGTAAATGATCATTTTTCTAGCTTGGTTAAAGCTTTTCTTACTGCTGTTAAGAGAGCGAACTAAAGAAATCTACCTAAATTTTCTCTTTAAAGTCAGAGAATTTGTATGGAAATCTGAGAACAATGTCCGAACTTTTTGGTGACCGTAACACAATCCAAGCTAGCGCCGAAAAGGTGAATTGACAAACAAACTTGAAATATGCCTATACAGTGTTTCCCATTCAAACGCTTGAAACCTTACGATTTTTTCATTGAAACAAAATTTTGATAGACGACAATCAAGGCATTTCTATAACATAAAACATTGCATTAATCTCTGTACCCATATGATGAATATCATCCCTCTACAAATCCTAACATATATCATGGTTTGTTTGCGTTTTCTTTGTCAATTGTAACGTTTTTCATTTCCCTGAGGATGGCCGAGTAGGCCGAAAACTCGGATCATATTTATCAAAATTTATGGTTGATAAAACAAACAATTATGAAGGTAAATTTGGTTTGTTGGTAAGATAATGCATTACATCCTTTTGCAGGAAATGTTCTACACCTCACGTCCAAAAGAAGTTTGCTAGCATCATTCCAAGTTCTTCATCTGTGTAAGATATATTAATCTTTTATAACAAACACAACACTTTTTAGTTTAACTGACATGTTTCGGCAGTAACGTCTGCCATCTTCAGATTTTAATATCATAATGCAGATTGCATGAAGTATAAGTACCTAAATAAACAATAGAATTAATGTAGCGTAATAATACAAAAATGAGAAGCAATAAACTAAAAGAATGTGTGGACAAGAGTAAGCTAATTAGATGGAAAGCTTAATGTTAACGTGCTTTACAGTACCTGCGCATTAAGCGTAGGTTTTTCCCACACAATATGTAAGGCTTCTTTGATTTTAAGTTGGATGGTAGATGAAACCTGATCTATAATTGTAAAACATTATTATATATTATTATTATTATTTATTATTTATTATTATTATTATTATATATAAAATTAGTTTTAATATTCGAGTTAAAATGTATGTATATCAATTATATTTGAATTCAACTATATATACCTATTTAAAATAGGAGCTAGAGCCAAAGTAGATAAGGCAATAGGAAATCTATATTCTGTGCGTGTATTAATTAAACATGAATTATTGAGGTGTTTATAATGGCTTTACAAGTCCACTCAGAAACACAGGAAATCAGTTAACTATAAGTAGACCGTTTGTCTCGGTTCAACAGCTATCAAAATCTGACACATGACATCACCATATTGTGTTTTCACACCAGAAAAACATGTCACACTCACCCCTTAATTAACTTCTTTCACCACAAGTCGGCATTTTTTGATAATTTGTGGGAAAGAAAATAATTATGAAAGAATGCCGACATGTGAAGAATAGAATGCAGACAAAAAAATGTAGAAGTAGGCATGATGGTGGCATGTTTTTCTTACCTGAAAACCTAGTTTTGTGACATTCGTAATATCAGGAAGAAGCTAAAGTTTTTCTCATAATTTTTGCTTCATAATTGCCCTATTTCACTATGACGTCACATCAAAACAATCTATTGCTTTAACGCAAAGGATCATGGTCGTCGGAGGGGGTCAAATCAACGCAAATTCACCGAAAATTGTTCGAAAATTCGTATCAATCCACGAAGAGAAGTAGAATAGCCAGCAAATGCTCAGAATATTTTTTAGTACATATTAACACATATTATATCTGAAAACCAGGTCATTAAACAGTTTCGCTAGGAGCAAATTTTGTTGCATTTTCTGTTGGATTTGGCGATTCTATCCCCCCAAATAAACAAGCAGTGACGTCATAGTGAAATAGGGCAATTATGTGCCAGATTTTAATAGCCATTGTACCAAGATAAGAACGAATGGATCCTTTTTTTCAAACTTTTTTCCAATGCATTTTTCTTCTCAGTCATTCCAGCTCATCATTGGAGCTAGGCACTTCAGGTCCACTAGAAAAGGCAGAAGACTTTATTGACTTTCTTTGCCTTAGAGGTAAGTGTATTACTTATTTCAAAAAAAGGTGTTGGAGTTAAAGGAGATAGGAGATATAGGTGATAGGTCATTCTGGGATGGGAAGGAATTATTCGCATACAACTAAACACATATTGAGTTTATTTGCCATCTTTTGTAAAAAATTAAAACAATGATTACTGTAAGAAGATAAAATTGCAATTACCGATCTTTAGACCTTGAGTAAGTTGATGTTTTATGCAGGATATTTTACTGTCCCAGAAAAGTTTTGATGATGATGCCTCCTTTGACGTCACATATTGGAAGTATGAACCTTGATATTGCCAAGATTCATCACTCAAAACATTTTAAAATATTTTGCAATTATTCAATGATTCACTTTATGTAGAATCAATACCAGAAATATTGAATTAGGGTGAGGGGAACTCACCCTAATTCAATATATAAAAATAATGAAAAAAGATCAAGAATTTCTTTTTTTCCTTCTAAAGATTTTGTAGCTCAAGTCAGGCCATGGAAATTGTTGCATGGACAACAACTTGTAACTTCTTCCTTCCTTCCTTCCCTCCCTCCCTCCCTTCCTTCCTTTCTCTCTTTCTTTCTTTCTTTTCTTTGTTTGCTTCAGGTGTTTGAGATCTAGATTATTTAAGACTCATTCGGATATAGTACTTTTCATAGGCATTGTTATTTGATGTCGTTTCTTACTATGATTTCGTACTATTATTCTAGGTCATCCACTCATGCCAAAAGAGCTAGAAGTATTCAACAACAACAACAACACAATACAACCATGCGACTTTACTCTATCTGATGACGAATGTCCCTCCAGCCCACCTTCATCATTATTATCAGAATTACCATCATCACCAGCATCATCAAATCCTCTCCAAAACTTTGTAGATTCGCCCTGCGAGACTCCCATCTGTGACACACCTTTGAATTCAGAAGATGATGTGGCAATAGGGGCTATCCATGCGATGCGTATGTATGCCGGGATTGAGAATAGACCCAAGACCACCAACGGCAAGGAAGAGAAAGGTGAAATAACCATTGCTGAAGTGGATAGTGAAGAGGTAAATTTTCTCAATGATGTCTAGCCTTTTAAAACAAATTTTGAAACTCTACCACAGAGAGTATTAGTCTCCTCTTCCCCGAGGCCCTGTATACATGAAGACCATTGGTTGACCCAGTTGCTATGGCTGACTCTAGCTTGGGAATTGCAGTCTTTTTTAAAAAATACTGAAACTCTACCATAGAGATTAAGTTTGTTTACCATTAGATTGGAAATTCCACCAGAATTTCCTCTTCATCCAGAATGAGCAAATGGTACCAAACTGTTTCCCTTTTTCCCAGTCATTCCTGTGAGGGTTGTGTTCCATTGCAATATCAACTGGAAATTCTACTTTTGGGCTTCCTGTTCTAAACAATTTCAAGATTTGGGCTTCCTGTCTTAAAAAACGTGTGTGGAAAGTGTAAATGGTACGCGATTCTCCGGTTATTCTGGGCTCACTGGAACAAATGGGGTACCTATTGAGCATTTCCACTTTTACCAGAAATTCTCCGATAGGAGAAGGTTGTACCATTTGCAGAAAACCGGATAACCGGAATTTCCAAACTAATGTTAAACAACCTAATACTTTCCTCTCCCTGAAGTCATGTGTACATGATGATGATTGGTTGACCCACTTGGTGCAACTGGCTCTAGTTTGGGAGTTGCATCATGAACCTGGATAGGGAGCAAAAGACCAGCTTATAGCAACAGGGTCACCCCAATGTTATATATATTAACTAATCTTGGTGCCATTCTCTTGTTTTGTTGAGGATTGTTAGCATTCATAAATCTAATACACGTTTTATTTATGCCTGAAAAAACCTTGTAAATAGTTCATATATGTGTTGTATGGCATTTCTTTCACAAGGCTGCAGCATGCTTTAATAAATAAAGATTTTAGTCAAACATGTTAATTACTTGATTGCGTACAGATTGCAAAAAGTTACAAGTAACATTTACTTGACCTTTGTAACAATAATAATGATGATGATGATAAATAAATAAATTAATTAATTAATCAATTAATTAATCGTATAGCGACAATAAACAACGCTCTTAACCTCGCTTTGCCACTTAGATTATTTTCCGTATTTGTTTTTCATATGGAGTTTTGGCTTCCGTCTGGAGTTTTGACTTCCGTTTGGAGTTTTGACTACCGTTTGGAGTTTTGACTACCGTTTGGAGTTTTGACTTCCGTTTGGAGTTTTGGCTTCCGTTAATCAAAATTACTCACTCACTCAGACAGTTGTACATGTCTTTGATAGACGGAAGCCAAAAGCTGAAGCTTTAAACGTTCCACATCTGAAGTTGTCTGAAACGTGAAAAGCGCCCTAAAAGGCATGCTTGATAAAACTTAAGACGTAAATGCTTATAATTAAAACTTAATTAACATATGTAAGATATTTTAAAGGTCTAATCTAATGAAGCTTGATAAACGTAAATCAAATACATTCGATTGGCACTTAAGTTAGCTCTGAAATAAAAAACGCTTTTCTAGATGGTTAATAAGTATTCTTGGATGTTTTCTTAACTATAGGAACCCAACAAGAATCCAAAGTCTGTGACCCCTCCCTTGTCATTCAGAGTTTCGCCTCGTTCAGCACCCCCCGTATCTACTACCACCTCGCCATACTTAAGCCCTTCACCAGGTCCAGTTATGGCGACTTCACGGTACGTGACCTTACCATCAACCAGTGGGATGAACCAAGGTAACATCGGCGTAGACCTCTACCCCACCCCTGATGGTTCGGCATTTGGTTCTCCTCCTCCTCCCCCCTTGTTGCTCAGCCCTAGCAAGAGTTCTTCTTTGTCTTCAAATAATTGCTGTTCGCCACCACCGTTACTCTACATTCCTGCCGCTGCGCAGAGAGTGACCCATTTGCATGGCCCGCCTAAACTCGAGAGGGTTCAGACACCCAATGTGGACGAAGTACATCGGGATAACCGAGAAACTAGCCCGCCAGTTTTAGTGAAGCAGAAACCATCAGATTTTACTGTCGAATCTAGATTTATACAAGAAGAAAGTGGTAAAAAACCTGAACATTCAAACAGAGACTCAAAAAAAACTGAAAGCTCTCAAGAGCTAGGGGACCAAGAACTAAGCTCTGGGGAACTCCCTTGCTGTGAGAACTTATTACCGAGACCATCTTCAACTGGAGGTATACCAGGATATGAAAATAGAGCTACTGCATTGAATTCATCTCCAGAAGACAGTAGTTCATTAGGAAATAATTCAAGAACTTTTCAGCCTTACAAAAGAAACTCTCGAAGTTGTCCTCTAAATTTTAGCGGCAATGACCGAGTTGAACAAACAAAAAAGACAAATGACTCATCTCGGTTGGGATCTCGAAAGGGCCGAGATCTGAATACAAGCACTTCTACCATCTCTTCACCCAGCAGTGGACACAAGCATCAAGGATCCTGTCCATTACATTCTTCAAAACGAAGGGAGAATGAAAGCTCACCGATAAAGAAAATATCAGTCATTGACCTAAGTAAGGTAGACTCGCCAGATTCTTCTGTAAGCCTGGGCGGGAGTTCTTTKCTTGAAAATCTCCAGAGGGCGCACGATGAAGTTTCACCAGCACGGGATGGGGCTTGGAGTAGCTGCTGCCAACGTGAAAAGGAGAGTACTTTGGATCAAAGTTCTAGTACTCAGGATACATCAGGTATTGTTTCTGTAAGCCCCTCACCGAACACTCGTACTAAGACCACTAGTCGTGGTGGTGAAGGATACAAAACCCCACTGAATAGCAATCTGTTAACTACTCCAGCATCTGATATAGAACAAGATAGGCTCAGCCCATGTTTACGAAAGCTGCGGCCTGGATTATCCACTGGAGGCCGAGTTTCACAGACTATAACGGATCGTAGTAGATCGTTTACAATTACGAACCTCTCGGAGGAGGCTGCCGCCAGTCCTTTGCGTTGTTCTGTTGATAAAGCCTGTACGTCTCCGTTTGCACCTGTTAAGGATATCATCACTTCTACACTTACTCCACCAGCATCGGTAAATTTTGTAGGGCAATTCGGTGTGCGCCCGCACCACTTAACAAATACGCCACCCCCGTTTGATTGTGGCATGCGAGATGCCCTCTCGCCACCCTGGTCGCATCTTCAACCTTCATACTCACTGAACAGTGCGCCTCCAACACCGTATACGTTTTCCATAAACAGTCCATGCACTTCTCCTATACACAATAACCACTGCTGCACTCCCCATAGGCAGTACAACACACCTCGTGCTATCCCGGTCTTACCACCAACCCATCTACCATCATTCCAGCAAGGTATGGTAGTTACACCAACTCTATCGCATTTTAACGGAGAATTTCGCAGCTCGCACGAGTTTGGGTGTCTTAACTTTGGGCACAATGTAAGCGCAGCTATGACGAACCAGACTCATAATCTTCCAAGTGCTTTTGAAAACACATCTAAAAAAGTACAACCATATTTGGAATCAAGGAAGTATAATTCTACAAAGGATAGGGATCCTAGCTGTGCTTATTCCAACGAAAATAATAGTGACAACTCATCCAAGAAAATAACTACTACCCCCACATCAAACCTTCCAACACAGACCATTTCAGTAGATCTCACGACAGACGATACCAACATAATTTCATCGCAAAGTAAACTGTCTGAAATGTTGCGTGACCAACATACGGGTACTGAAGATTCAGATCAATCACGTGGACGTAAATCTGGTGACGTTAAGAAATCTAGTGCTGAAGAGAATGTTAAAAAAGGTGTTGACACTGAAATCAAAAAACGCCGAGGTCGCCCCCCGGGCTCGAAGAATAAAAAAACAACCTCGAAAAATCTTGAAGGAGAAGCGAATTCCGGGAAAAAATCTCCCACAAAGGATGAAACGTCGAAGAACGAAGAAGAGAAAGAGTCTGCAAACGCTAAAGTAGGAAGGACGAAAAAAGTTGAATCTCCGATACTCAGGCCAACTGACGAAGAGTTCAAGGATCCCATTAAGTATTTGAAATCGGTGCAGTCGACTTTGAAGAAGTTTGGGATCTGTATCATCGATCCTCCGGAAAGCTGGAAGGTAAGTAATGAAAAATAATAGAAAGCGCATATGCTGTGTGCAGTTGTAAAGCACGCGGAGGTTGACAGGACATAAGAGAAGTGCTAGGAGAAGCACGACGCGCAGCAGAGTGCTTCTCGACACTTCTCAAGTGTTCTGCCAATTCCCAAGTGCTTTTTAACTGCGTACAGCACAGCAAGCAAGTTTTTTATTTCTTTTTATAAAATACAAATTAGAGAAGCCGTTATTTTGGACACAAATGACGAAATAGAAAGTGTGTACGCGTGCTGTGTGCTCTCATAAACGATTTTTGAGAAAGAAAATAGTGCATAGAGTGCGAAAGATTCTTGATCGCTACACTTATTTTCTTTCGTGTTTTGCACGTAAAATTGGCGCCAATAAGGACGTTTGCATGATGACGTCATTTGACTGCTTTTATCAGGATGCATCACTATAGCATTTTTCTTATCATATTCAAGCTCGAATTTATATTTAAATTTTATATACCTTTGGATATGTTATAGAGATCATTTATCATTTGTCTCTAGCTGAAGGAACTCAAAAAAGTGTGATAGGAATCGAAACTTACGACCTTCTGGATACCTTGAGCTAAGGATAGACTCTTAATGATTTGTCATTTACTGGGCCCATTATGACATACGACCTGCACACTACTATGCTTGATAATAATGTCTACATTCAGTTCAGAATCCTTCTAAGTATATTATATGATGATAAACTTATTCATTAGTGACCTAGAAAGTGGTATATAGTATACACCTAATTGAAAAAACGTCGGGTTCAAAAAAAGGTTATACCATCAAAGCTAAGACCGAAGGGGAGCATGGGAAGACAAACAATTATGCTAATTTCATGCGTATTGCAGTTTTCACTTCTGTGCACATTTTATGCATCATGGCTTTGGCATGCTGTTAATCTAGGTCGACCGACTTTACTCTGCTGTGCATTTTTACATGCCTATATGCAAATATAATACACATTTCGGAGTACTCAAAATCCTTTTTGGTCTTAGCTTCGATGATATGACCTTCTCGAACCCGACTACGTTTTTTCAATTAGGTGTATACTTTAGTGTATTGTTTTATTTTGACTGAACAGCTCGAGAGTCATTTACCAGGAAATCCAAGATTCACTACAAAACGTCAGCTTATTCATCGTTTACAGAAAAGGTCAGTGTTCTCTAAAGTTCTTAATAATTTATTGTCAACATTCGACGTAGTGTCTTTCTATATAAAAAATGAACTTCTACAAGAGAATGTAAAGTAAGAGAAGGAATCTCTGGTATTCATGCTTGTAGCCATCATAGTCACCTAAACAATATCCTGCAATACCAAAACCATAAGTAATATACACCGATTTCGAAAATCGTTGTCGCACCAAGAGCCTCAAGTAAAGCCAAGGCTCCAGAGAACGTTGGTACTTTTAATTATAATTGATTCATTCATGGTTCATGCAAGTGGCTATAGCTCTCCACTAATTATCATCTCAAACAGCCTTGCTTGGAGCAATTTGTGAAGTCAATAAATGAAAATGCACCATGAATAAACTAATTACAGCTAAAAGTACCGGCGTTCTCTGCAGTCTTGGCTTGTTGCTTGAGGCTTTTGGTGCGACAACGATTTCTGAAATAGGTGTATATGATAAAGCTTGCTACACCAAGAAAGACCCGTTTTACCGCTATGACATCTATAACAATAAATACTGCACTGCCATCCGAGGTCATGGTGGATAAAAGGGCGTAAAGTAATCGGGCTTCTAATATTGTTTTATTTAGATGGGGACCTACAGAGATCAAGCTGGCTTGTATAGAGAAACACATACAACAGCAGCAAGACTCCTTTCACTTTACCCAGATGCCTGTGGTGAGTACCAATATATATATTGTGTACAGCACGGGTGCAACATGTCATCACTGTGACCGTTATATCACACTTGACAGAACTGATAAAGGCTTGTGACACTCTGTTCAACGTCTCAGTATATATTGTGTATAGCACGGGTGCAACATGTCATCACTGTGACCGTTATATCACACTTGACAAAACTGATAAAGGCTTGTGACACTCTGTTCAACGTCTCAGTATATATTGTGTACAGCACGGGTGCAACATATCATCACTGTGACCGTTATATCACACTTGACAGAACTGATAAAGGCTTGTGACCCTCTGTCCAACGTCTCAGTATATATTGTGTACAGCACGGGCGCAACATGTCATCACTGTGACCGATATACGACGCTTGACAGAACTGATAAAGGCTTGTGACCCTCTGTCCAACGTCTCAGTGTATATTGTGTACAGCACAGGTGCAACATGTCATCACTGTGACCGTTATACGACACTTGACAACTTATAAAGGCTTGTGACCCTCTGTCCACAACGTCCCTATGGCTCAGGTCAAACGTTGAACTTTACATGAGCCGAACCTAATTGAAACAATGTTTAACAAGGCGGTGTTCTTTGATGTCATTAGGTTCGGCTTATGTGAAGTTCGACGTTTGTATTCGACCTTACAGCCATTCTCAATCACACGCGCCCTCAGCGATTGTTTCTGTCGCGACGAAGAAGGTTTTGGTGGACGTCAATGAAGGCGTTTCCATCACATTGTCAGTAAACACAAAGCTATAAGGACTCGTGCCTATAGAATGTCATGGAAACGCCTTGATTGACGTCCACCAAAAGCTTCTTCGTCGCGACAGAAGCAAAAGCACAATTCTTACCATTTCTAGATCTTTATAGTATATAATATTTTATGAATTATATCTCAAGGTGTTGTTTTCTTACCGTCAGGTTGGTGGCTGCGATTTGGACCTGCCAGAAGTTTCTAGGGTTGTTAATGAACTTGGTGGAATGCAGAAGGTATAATTAGCTACACGTTTCGCTTTAAAAAGGGAGTCCTCTATTTTTATTTGCATGTCAAACCACGTGTCATTCTCTTGAGAATAATATTCCTTGCTTGAGTAGTATCCAAATGTATGTGTCATCTTATGGGCAACCGTTAGAGTGGTTTTCTTTAACCCATGAAACAAAGTGTACTTATTAGAGTGTAATAGTCGGATAAGTACAATAGGAAACGAAAGAATTAGAGTACAATAGTACTAAATAAGCTAAAGTGTATTGCATGGGTTTATTTAAACCAATCTAAACGAAGAAATGATACTCTAGCGAATAACACGTGGTCTGAAATGGGAAAACATTACTCCCAAGCTAAGGACATTCCATAAAACATCGGTAACTATGGACCTGCATTCCGAACGCAACCACAACGTTTTTTCTAAGGGCTCTGTTTTCATCTCACCCAAAACGCATCAAAAAAGCATCACGTCCACTCTAGCGTTTCAATAACCCAGCCGAATACGATATGAAATTATGCAATATTATCGTCTGTCATGCGAAAATACGGATGTACTAAGGCGAATAACGTCAAATGTTTTCAAAAATAGTCAAATTTTCGCTGTCCTCACTAATGCGATAGGCTTCCATTTCAAATGTCTCTACTCTGTGTGATGGGGAGTGTTTTCAAATTTATGAATTTTCTATGAAAACGCCCAGCGTTTTCGATCGTTTTAGTGTGCCTTACGCCCACAAAATGCATTGAAAAGTATGCTTTTGCAAACGAAAATACCTTAGCGTAGACGGAGCCTTAGTATTCAGTCAAGTTTGACTTGCATGCAGTTAAACTAAGATGTGCGCAAATATGATGGGGTTTCAAAATTCAAGAGCAATTAGAGCAAGGCAGAAATATATAGATTTTTTCATTTAAGGTAATCGACACCAAGAAATGGAATAAAGTCGCAGATCTTCTACGAATACCGAAATCCGTAAGTCAAAGTCTATTCTATTCAAATCACAAAAATGTCAAAATGTCCTGGTCTTATCCCCTTTGTTCTGCATCCCGATTCCTCTCCTCTCCTGTACTTCCCTTCTCTTTCAATATCCTCCCTCCCTTTCTTTCCCATCTCTTCTATTCACTTAGCTTGTAATATTTTGAAATGTCAGTAGATAGCCCATTTCCGAGATATAAGTGCTCCATAGCGAGGCTACGTGTGAAGATACGTCTGGCGACGCGAAATATAAAAGCTTTCTTGAGAAGTTTTGTCATATATTTCACACGTAGCCCTGCTAAGGAGCACTTGAAAACGATATCTCGAAAATGAAGTCCAAAATTCCAATAACCCGTATTTCCCCTTCAGACTCAAGATCGCGTTGGTAAACTACAAGATGCCTATTGTAAATACCTACTGTCTTATGACCTACTACCCGAGGTACGTTTAACACGATCATTATTGACTTGTCGATCTCTCTTATCTCCCGCGAGTCTTTTATCTTTTCGAGCACAGCGAGCGAGCAGCACCAGTAGAGATATAGAGGGCAGTGGACTTTGGGAAAGTGTATATCATTACTGCGGAGCGAGAATTTATGTAGCACAGCGATGCCAGTAGAGATACAGAGGGCGGTCGACTTTGCGAAAGTATAGGTCATTACTGCATCTCTTGATATCTATAACTAAGACTCCTGTACCAAAATGGGACAAACTAGGACCCCATGATTTACAATCTGGTTTATGTTTCGGGGCAATTGAATACAAGACATCTTACGATAGCCTCAATAGCCCCATTAATTCATTAAGAACAAAAGTTTATATTGTACTTCTTTCTACTCATTACAGTCAGAAAAGGAAGCACTAGAAAAACAAGTAAAGCAAGAAATACAGGAATCAGGTAAGCAGATGTCCGCTGACCACTTTCTCCAGTGACCGACTTTTCCTCACAGGGATCAAAGGGACCGCGGAGCTAGGGGACTGAGGGGCTATATACACACCAACAATTTTACCTCCATTTTTTTTTATTGCTTTATTTTCTTTTTAACGGCGCAGGCGTAGCTCAGTTGGTTATTGCGCGGCCTTCGAGGCTAGAGGTCCAAGGTTCCATCCTCACGATTTCCACGTCTGTTTTTATCGGATTTCTCTTTAATCCGTGTAGCTTCAGCTTTGAATGCTCATAAAACAGAGCTTCTTGATGGAGAGATTCCGTATTAAAATAAAGGTTACTTTACCCTTAACATTCCTTCACCTTGTGTTTGTTTTGTGATTTTCAGAATCTAAAGAGGATGCGGATCAAGAGAAGTGTTATTTAAAGGTAATAAATGATAAACTACCGAGGCCCAAGCTAGGGTGGTCCTATATCTAAGTTTTTTCTTATATATTTCGGGTGCTCTTGGGGGAAAGAAAAGGAAAAAGACTCGTTCTGGGTCACCTTCTCTACATGTAAACCAAGGGGTTCGAAAAGCAAGTGATTCTGCAATCAACGATAAAAGCGGAATATGGAGTGAGAAAAGCAACTTTTAACACTACGCACTGTTTGTTCTCATTTCAGGGCCGTAGTTTTTCCATGGGTTGTTTTCAACGTACTGCACGCAGTTTTCAAGATCATTTCTTCAAATCTGAACCATCAGTTGGTGATGTTGAGGTAAGACGATCAGAGATTGTAAATGTCCTTTAGTAGCAGTGGGAATTTCCTTGTTTGGGACATGAATTTATGCTATCCAAGAACATCTCGTTGTCCCTTGCGAGTAGTAATACAGTACTGTATTACTACTCTTGCGGCAGCCACGTTGAAGGCAAGGCTCGAACAATGCAATATTTTCGCAGAATAAAATTCCATTCCCAAAGGAGAAAATTCCTGTTATTATGCCCCCACCCCTTCGTCCACCCCACCCCTCCACACCACCGGGTCCATTTTATCCTATCGAAGATATCCTATCGAAGATATCCTATCAGGTGAACCCCCATATTAATTTACTTTGCTTTTCTGTTGGTAGAGAGAATACTGGAAAATAGTACAATCACGTGACAAATATGTAGCGGCCCACCACATCAAGTTAGACACGCGGCAACACGGTTCATGCTTCCCAACCAGTAAAACAGACCCCTATACCAAGTAAGTTATCTGTACCACAGGAATCCTACCATTATAAAATCGGTTTTTATACAAGATGGTTATCGATACCACAGGGATCCCATCCATTATATAATCGGTTTAACACAAGATGGGTTATCGATACCACAGGGATCCCATCCATTATATAATCCGTTTTACGCAAGAAGAGTTATCGATACCAAAGGGATCCCATCCATTATATAATCCGTTTTACACAAGAGGGGTTATCAATACCACAGGGATCCCATCCATTATATGATCCGTTTTATACAAGAGGGGTTATCAATACCACAGGGATCCCATCCATTATATAATCCGTTTTATACAAGAGGGGTTATCAATACCACAGGAAGCACACCTAGGATCGTTCTAATGAGTTTTGTCTTCCAGGTCGGGTTGGAATCTAAACGTTCTTCCTCATCTTAAGGGATCGATACTTAGACATGCAGGCCAAGTAGAAGGTAAGCTAATGTATTTAATTTTATTATAAGCCACCGACTTACAGAATTCTATCATATTCAGTCATTTGATGCTGTTAAAGTCATTTGCATAACTTTACCGAAGTTTGCGTGACTCTAATGAAGTCGGTTACGTGACAACACCGATTTAAATCGCGTGACTTTAGTGAAGTCGGTTGCGTGACAACACCATGTAATTCGCGTGAATCTAGTGAAGTCGGTTACGTGACTACATCAATGTAAATCGCGTGACTACAACGATATCAATCGCGTGACCCTAGTGAAGTCGGTTACTTGAGTACACCAATGTCAATCGCGTGACTCTAGTCAATTTGTTTACATGCACTTGAAACCACATGATCATAGGCGTTCCCTGAGATGAAAAAACATGATGCATTGTGGTCTAGCTTGGATACAAACAACACCATATGCATCATGTTTCATCATCTCAACAAGGCTATTAATATTCATCACCACTCTAACGTCTAAATTGTTTTCTTATCAGATTTAACAATACCCTGGTTAAATATCGACATGTTGTATTCTACCAAGCGATGGACAACCAACCCACTGCAGACATATCTTATTGACTATCTACATTCATCCATCGACAAAGTCTGGTGAGAACAATGGTTTCGTACTTAGTCAAAGGCTAACATTAACATAATATCTTCCATCAATTACATCAGTCATTTGACAGAACACAAGTCATTACATTTGAATTACATTCGTTCCACACGTATCTAGCCTGTGTACAGCCTCTCCCCACCCCTCACCCCTACATGGAAAAGCCTTTTCCTTCCCGTTTTTCCCCGTAGGGCGGAGGGGTGGGAAGCGGCTGTACACAGGCTACGTATCCAAATTACGTAGCGTTTTCGATTCGTTTTCGCCCGTCCACACAAATGCGATAAATGCGCTGAAATAATCGGAAAACGAAGAAAAAACATGCGTGAATTAGAATGATAGGAACAAAAGCCAGTCCGGCCACCTTCAGCTAAAACACCCTTATTGACTGTAATCCTTTTTACTGTTCGTGTTTGTTCACCTCCAGGTACGGTGTTCCAGAATCAGACATAGAAAAGTTTCCTTACACAAAGAAAGATAGTACAAACGACTTTGAAGATGGAGAAGCAATGGTGAGTAAAGAAAGCGTACCTACTTCACGTTGTCTTCCTTGTAGAACGGTAGTATATAGAAAGATGGATGTACTTAACTGACAAATCCAGTTCACTATATTCGCACTAGCCATCACGCGGTATAAGTTGTATTCGATTGTGTTACGTCACCAAAAAGTTCGGACTGTTCTCAGATTTCCATACCAATGTAATGGCTTTTTAACAAAGAATATTTTGCTTGTATTTAGGTAGCTAAACAAACAAATCGAGTAAATAATTTGTTTAAAAGTCATGTCCGAACCTTTTAGTGACCGTAACACAATCCAATACAATTTATATCACGTGATGACTAGCGCGAATAAGGGGAATTCAATATTACTGTTTTTTCATTAGTCTTGTTTTGTTTTTGTATTGTTGTGCTTTTCAGTTTTACTTGTTCGTCGACCTTTTTTTTTCTCTCTTTCTCTCTTCCCTTATCTTTTCTTTTTGATTTTTTTGTGTTTTTTGTTTTTTTTTCGTTTTTTGAGTTCCGTTGTTGTTTTTCTGTTGTTATTGTTGTTGTTGTTGCTAATTATCGTAATACCGTTTTTCTCAAGGTGTCTCCTTCACATATGACACGTGAATCAGATGTGAATGTTACAAGACTCGTCCAGAAACAAGGCCAGTTTGTGGTTATTGCTCCCGAGGTACGATATTTTATGCGATGTATGTGATGTGTGTGTTCTTCGTTCGGTACCGTCGTGTAAACACAGTTTGAGAAACGGCTGAAAACTATTCTCAGTGAATAATTAATTAGCGCGGAGCAGTATGAATTAACTTTGTACACACGCCTTATTGCACAACGTCGTTCAAAGCTTTCGGAAGCCAAATTTTGGTGTGCATGTTCCTCTAGCCTACTTGCTGTTTATCGACAACAGACGCGGATCTCGCCCATATCTTAATACGACGTTTGCATGATGGCGTCATTTGACTCCCACTATCAAGATGCTCCGCGAATTTTCTTTCTTATTTAAATTCGTATTCCCTCATGAGAATAGTAAGACAATTGGTGCTAATTAACTGAACAAAAGGAATTGTGTGTGGTAGTAGAGGTCAGTGACGTCAAACGTCCTATTACTGCGATATAATAATGAATATTCAGTGAGGATTTATTACTATTTTTGACGTCAGAGTGCGCGTTATATAGTGACTCAATCTCAAGCCCACGGTCTTCCGGCTTTTTGGTCAGCAGGCTAACGACAACGCAAAAAGGCGCTGGAGAACTCTGGGTACGAGATAGTGATAGTGACTTTGTCGGCTATGTTATAAATGGGATTATACTTTGGCTCCAGCTTATATTGCTTACAATCCTTCTTATGTTTGTTGACAGGTGTTTCATTGTAATATTAGCTGCGGTTATTCAGTTTCTGAGACTGTTGCCTTCGCCTTTCCTGATTGGTTACTGAAGGCATCATCTTTAAACACGGTAAGTGAAGTGTTGTGCCTAGTCTCCCGCTAAATTATTAGGCCGTTAGACTAAGAAAGGGACGTGATACGATCGTTTTATATATCCCCTTTTGACTTAATTCGGTCGTTAGACTTAAAAGGAGGGTTTGGAAGGGAATGTTGTGCCAAGTCCCTCTCCATTTCATATGGTCGTTAGAATTAGAAAGGGATCTTAAAAGGAAATCGTGCCAGGTCCCTTTCTTCATTACATGGCCGTTACACCTGAAAGAGTCATGGAAAAAAGTATTATTTTCAAGATATCATACGTACGCATCCTGATGCTGAGTTACATTGGATCACTTATATCCATACAGGAACTTTTCACTGAGTGGCCAGGGTTTTCCTACGAGAAGGTCTTACTGAAACTCGCTGATGAGGTATGCCTAACAAATATTCTAATCATAAGTTTTGGATTAAGGGTTTTCTTTGGTATTACAGTCAACTCTCGTTACAGCGGACACCCTCGGGACCGTCACTTCATGTCCGTAATAGCGAGCGTCCGCTATAGCGAAAATAATTTACGGTCATTTCTTTGTCAGTATTTTTTGCGGATTTTTCTCCTGTCCGTAATAGCATAGTGTCCGTAATATCGGGGTGTCCCCAAGGCGAGAGTTGGACTGTGTGCGCTACAATTCCTGTGGTACAGCATTTGCATGCGGTCAACAACGAATCCTAAATCTCATTCTATTTTTCAGGTAACAGACTCTGACAAGGAGGTATTAGAATGTCTTCATCGAGAACTAAAGCGAGTCAGGTAAGCTTACACGATACTAATTATTATATGGTGTAGGGAAAACACCAAGTAATCAGAAAGGGTTACACTACCCCCCCCCCCCCCCCCCCCCCCCCCCCCTTTTTTTTTTTTGTACTGAGCGCTTTTGAAATATTATTCAAAAGTTNTGTAGGGAAAACACCAAGTAATCAGAAAGGGTTACCCCCCCCCCCCCCCCCCCTCCTGCTTCCCTCCCTTTGTTTTGACTGTACTGAGCGCTTTTGAAATATTATTCAAAAGTTGAACAATACAAGTACATTGACCCTTACTTTTTCTGTGTACAGAGACAGAGAGATTTCAACAAGGAAAGAGCTCAAAGGATTAGGAGTAATAGAAGGTTCGTGTACTAACACGACCTCTAAAGGTAATACAATATTTTACATCACTCACTATTAATATTCATTCAATAGTATACTGTAGGGCGTTTTCACGGGACGTCACAGCGGCCATCTTGGTGTACCAATACAATACATTTTCTATCCTCCAATAATTGAACTCTATTTTTATGCAAATACTGTGCAGAAAGTTTCCATTGTTTGGTACACCAATATGGCTGCCTTGTCACGAGAACGGAACAGTAAAATGAGGTATTTGCATAAAAAGCTAAAAAGGTCTATTTCGCGTCATTTTCTTCGAGAAAACAAGAAGCTCTCGTTTCCAGAATCCCCTCCTCATTAAAACACAATAGACCTAATTCGTTGCGTTACAATATTTTCCCATTTCAGACCACATTTACTTCCCAAGAGAATAAGATTCTTTGTTTTGTATCCATATTCATTTGTCTTTTCGTGTGAAACCGATTGTAACCGTTAAACAAAGAAATGACACTCTTGGGAATGACATGTGGTCTGAAATGGGAAAACATTGTAACGCAACGAATTAGGTCTATCGTTGAACTTCCGATGTGACGTCCCTACTTATTTATGCCTTACGTGAGACTGTATCGTGTTTTATAGGAGTGCAAACCATCAAGACAAAGTCTGGCTGTATTCAGGTCCATTCAACTGCCATGTTCTGTGGACAGTGTAATCAGTTGTGTCATCTGTCTGCTGTAAGTTTATTCATCTCACAAACTGTGCCATTCTCGTACCCAGAGCCTAAGTTTCTTCTGGAATGCGGCGAAGAACGAGGGCTCTGGCATAATCCATTTTTGGCGCATGCGCAATTTCCCGGAATCAATAAAAATCATGCTTTCAAACAGAGTTCTGCGCTTACTTCGATCAAAATGAAAATTAGAAATCGGGAACATATTTTTTAATTTTTGGCAAGCCTTTGAACGCATGCGCTCTTATACCGGAAGTCCAAGAAATCCTGATTTAAGAAATGGATTATGCCAGAGCCCTTGTTCTTCGCCGCAGGCCAGGAGAAGCGTAGGCTCGCCCCTAGGGGCGCGCCGTGCTCGGTGTCCTATGTGAGTACAGTTGCCTGTTGGTTCTCTCCTTTGCTTCGAGGGTTTTTCTCCGGGTTATCCGTTTTTTAGTTTTTCCCCTCCACAACTCGATGTATCGGTAGCCTTATCAAGTGTGTTGCAAAACCTGTTAGGCTTCCCGTCTACCATAGAGTGGTAAATCCATTTCGATTTTGTAGCTATTGTTGTTGTTGTTTGTTTGATTGATTGATTTTGGTAAGACTTGTAGTTAGGAAAAATAGCTGGAAAATATTTTGTTTTAATTTCCTCTAGGTTCTTAGTGAAGAGGACTCTGAACTGTTGTGCCTGAGCGATGCTATCGATTACATCCGAGACGAAAACTCTTCCGAGTCCTTATCGATTGTCACGAATTGTTCAGTGGTAAGTTGTGACTGTACGACCATTTATCGATTGCAATAATGAGTACAGTACACCTAGRTAACACCAAGGTTTGAGTTCCGGTTTATCAGTTTTACAATACACTCAACAAAATTACTCGATTCTGATTAGACAAGAGGAGTACAATTAAATCCCTAATTATACTCTGTATAGTCCCAAATAAACAAAAAATCGCACAATCTTCTCGTACAATTCGGAATTCATAGATACTCGTGATGTTTTGAAAGTTCTCAAATTGAACTCGCATAAAAGGCTTGTCCAATTTTGAAAACTATCGTATTTTATCGTCATTTACTTATTGTATAAGGTGTGATTCATTGTATTTTATGGAAACATTACAGCAACAACTTACTACCAGTTGAGTTGAACGAACTCAATGTCAACCAATCAGAATCGAGAATTTGACATTGTATTTTGATTACTATTTCTCGTGATTCTGCAAAAAGAAACCCCAATATTAAAAGCTAGTGGAACTCAAGGCGGCATGCCATTAAAATCAACAAGAAAAATAGAGAGATTGTATTCCTTCCTTCCTAAGAAAATGCTAACCAAAAATAGTTGAGCCATAACTACTATCGGGGAACGCGGTCACCTCAACTGGACCTAGCCGGCTCTTCCATTCCATTAAGGTACAAAAACACAGGAAACCCGTGACGGTTGCCTGCGATAACAAGCAATCATCTTAAGTATTTTGATGTCTTTGTTTCTAGTCCCAAATAGACGAGGTCATCGAATCTGTTCAAAATAAGTTAAACCACCAAGAAGTTAAGAAGAAACAGCTTTGACGAGTGCAAAGATGATGACGACAATGAATATGATGCACACTGACGCATGCGTTAAAATTAATCTCCTCTGGCCAGTCATGTTGCTGTTAGAAAACACGAACGTCAGGCATTATGGGTGTTAGTACAGAAGGTAAGAAAAGAATTAGGTAGATGTGCAAAAATATTAGATACAAAGCTACGCGATTTATTTTAAAATGCCGTTCCGCAACATAAGGTAACTATAGCAACGCGCTATGACGGGAAGTAAAATATGTAAATTAATTTAACGTTTTATTGAGATATATATTGAGTTCTGTTAGTGAGTTTATGTAAGGAGGTGTTCATTCGTTAGGGCATGTTTTCATATTACTTCCTTTTCTCTTCGATGGTGGACAAAGATTTTATTGTCCCCCACCCCCCTCCCCCCAAAAAATCCCTTCTTATTGTTTTGGCTAACTCCCAAATATTTTCAAAAATTTGATACACCCTAGCCACTGAGCTTTTCAAAGCAGTTTATTCCCCCCCCTTCAACCCTAATTGCCCTGATTAACGAAAGCCCCCTTTGTTGGATCGAGAGGTAGTCACGTGATAGTGCTTCAGTTAGAATGGAGATATTTCGATGCGATTTTAAGTTGCGTTCTGTTCAGATTTCCATCGTGCAAGATAATGCATGTTCCATGCTATGGCTGCAAATGAAGGAAAAACTAGATTCACAGTTAATGGGGAACCCATTCGAGTTCATTGGTGGTATATGACCGCCGGCTCTCGTCACGTCCCCAGATCCATATTTGATATTTGTGATAATAAGAATCCTAATCCTAAGATACAAGAAAGAAAACCTGGCATACCAGGGCCCGGTTGTACGAAGGGCGGATAGCGCTATCCGCTGGATAAATCCTTATCCACTGGATAAAGTGATTCTGTTATCCAATAAATGGATCCACCCTTCGTACAACCGGGCTCTGAAGCACTAGGGAAAGTTTCAAATGTTCATATTCTCTACTTTCACATCCCCGTAATACTTTGCGTCTTTGGGGGGTAACCAGAGGGTAAAAAGCCAATTATTTTGCTGAAGACAATGTTGACAATACCTTGTTTGGTATCCAAAAATAAAATGAAGAAGTAAAAAACAGAAAAAGATAGAAGCTTGAAGACGTTTAAGGTAAATGTTAAAAAATTTTTCGTAAGTCAATACATTTTCTGTAAGACCAAAACTCTTGATCATCTGTACACGAAAAAATAACTTGGAATAAACTGATAATCAGTATTGTACAGATAAAAGCAGTTATAGTATAAATTCAATTAAGCAACCTTTCAATTTGGGACAGTTTTTTGATTGGTTACCCCCCAAAGACGCAAGGCATTATGGGGATGTGATAGTAGAGAATTAATGATTGTGTTGATGGCTGGTCAGTTGTCAGGTCACCTTTTGCCTTGTCTAGTATAAGTCATTTTGAGTCAAAAACTGGGTCACCTTTGCATTGAAGTGCACCATGCACATACCATACATACCATCTTGGAAATATTTCCTCTAAAATAGACCCACAATGCACTGCAATGCCAACTCGATCCAGTTTTCCTCGGCCACGGAATGGCTAATTACACTGGTTTTGTTAGATAAGAGTGACTCCTTGTTGGGGGTCCTGTGGTTGTCTATACAGACTATTTGGTATCAGTAGCTAGCAGACTCTTAACAGTCTTTGAATTGAATAACGTTCAAACATTCCTACGGTTCTTCTATTCGGAATTTTACATCTCAGGATACAAATACTATTTATCTATCAAAATTTCCTAACGAATTCTTTTAGGATAGAAGCAATATTCAACGAGCTGTTGAAAGTTCATCTTTGTTATTACGTTAGTTTGTGCACAACATACAGTCAATTCAAAAAATGTTGTCGTCGACCAACTCAAGCCTACGCGACTGGACCGAAAGTAACTCTGGGTAGCAGTCATTGAAGCCGAGTTGACTGCATAATTTTATCTGACTAGTTATGCCTGGTTTACAGCACGAACCTTCGTAGGCGAGCGGGAAGTGTTGAATGAGACGTTTTTTAATGCCTTCATATTTTCGAAATTGTGAACTGAATCATAACTACTTTGTTTTTCTTTCCCTAAACCCAAAGACATGCATTTGATGGATTGTTTCTCGCCATTATTATCTTATTACTAGCGGGAACAATTAATTCAGAACGAATGTTTTACCGCTTCAGTGATTTTTACCCATATTCCTTTCGGTCCAGTCGCGTACGCTTGAGCCGGTCGACGACAACGTTTTTTGAATTGACTGTATTCTTATTAGACTCTCCGAAGTTACGGAACGCGTTGCATCATGGGGCTCTTTTAGGGGACGCTGTATTACTTATATGGCGTCTTTTTCGCTAGTCGAGCGTTGCGTGACGACACCAATAGCGGCTGCGGACTACTTTTTCGCTTGCTGATAGTGAAAAGTAATAGGAAAGCTTAATCGTTGTGTTAATTTTCAAAATCCTTTCGATTCTTGATGCATAAATTTCAAATGAGGAAAAAGCCCTTTAATGCAACGTATGTTCTAAATTTTTCTTTAGAGAGGAGAGGGTAGTGATGAGATTTTTGTATGCGAGCTTCTTTATGGAAAGCTAGATATTAGTTGCTTCTTTGAGCTCGAAAACATCTAGATAGCATGACCCAATCGAGTGTTCCCTTGGAGTCGCACTCCCTTCCATCACCCACTCACTAGAATACTAATTTTCAGCTACTCAAATCACTATCTGATTCAGCTTTAATATACAATGCTCACATTCTCAAAACATTCAAAAATAAAGCAGTTTAAAATTTTCATGGCTTTAGCTTTAGCCCCCCCCCACACACACACACACACACATTTCCCATCCCCCTTCAAGAGAATATCAGTTCTGTTTAATGGTTCTGTCTATTTTATTTGTCTTCAAACATATTTGGGCTGGTATTTACAGCGGTATTTACAAGTGAGTCGTTTATTATATCTTGATTTCATGACGTTTTTGATATTATATATATATATATTTGTATTTCATTTTTTTCTAGCAATATACCGATTCTTCGATTGCACGTCATCGCGGCCTCTCGGGGGAGCGTTCGTGCCATTTAACAAAAGATTTCTTATTAGCATCCATTGTTAACGGCACCACAATGGCCGCCATGTTTTTGTCTTTTAACTCTCTTGGGAATGCTTGCAACCCATCAAGTTTTTTTTAAAAACATGAATATTTTTTAAATATTTTTTTGCAACCCATTAATAGGTCGTTTTAAGCCCCGTTTACACTATCGAGTTTTGCGCCGATTTTCGCTGGCGATTTTTGTGGCAATTTTCGGAAATATAAAATCTTTTGTCTCATCCTTCAAAAGAGGCATTCGTCTAGGAAAATCTTGGTATCCTGAAAAAAACTTAACAAGTAAATTCTTTACCATTATTTATTATGAATAAATTGCAAAAATATCGCAGCAACAATCGCTAGTGTAAACGGGGCTTTACAGTCGTTTTCAAATGCACGCGAAGACTCGAACCGTCTCAACAAAATAGGGTTTTGGTAGACGTCAATCAAAGTTTTTCCATGACACTGTCGGATACTCGTGGAATGTTTACCTTATTAACATAATTTAATTTCAAGCTACAAACAAAGAAGAATGTCAATCAAATCAATAGGTCTTTTGCAACAAACAGTCACATGCTGATATATGACTTTGTTAACGAATCAACTTCAATAGAACTCTTCGGCTTGGGGTAATGTTTTCCCATTTCAGACCACGTGTCATTCCCTTGAGAATAAGATTCTTTGTGAGCTGTATCCATATTCATGTGACTTCTCATGTGCAACCGAGCGCAAACCTTAAACAAAGAAATGATACTCTAGGGAATGACATGTGGTCTGAAATGGGAAAACATTACGTCAGAGTCGAAGAGGTCTATTCAATCAATTGTTAACGAAGGCTCTGCTGGATGGCAAACAAACTTTAAACTGCTTCGTATCTTGAAACCGAACGTATTTTATCGAACGTAAGAGGAAAAAAGTATTTTGAAAAGGTTTTGGATGGATATGACATTAGTAATGCCAGCAAAAAAATCTTTTTAATAAATGAAATCCTTTTTTTTTTTTTTTTTTTGCCGTCCAGGAACAAGCGTGTCAATCAATTGCAAAAGACAAGATTAGAATATTCTCAATACAGTCACATTTTGCAGAATGTCAGGTTGGGTGGCAAAAGCTGCCACCCAGCCTTTACATTACTTGTAAAATTTTGTAACATTTCTCAAAACTTATTCTACCAAATGTTCTCAACTTTTCAGTCGTCACTAAAGTTTTACCCCTTTTTCTTGAAGCTCGACTTACATTTGGGACACACTAGGTGACGTGTGGCGGAGACACGTCCTGAGATCAGGATATAGTTGCCTTTACGTGTCACGATTTTTACAATTACCGAATAAACTTTAACTGGTTTGCCTGTTATAAGACCTTCAAATCTTTCCTACATAAAGAAGCTGTTTTTACCGAGATTAGGTCAACCATTATACTCTCTAGAATCTCTACTACACAAAAACTGCCAACCTGAAAGCTTGTTTCATACGTACTCTCAACATATTAGTTAAAAGTAGATTAGAAACCGCATTAATAATTCATGAAGAAAACACAATAGAAATCATGACCATGAAGGTGAYTTTATATCTGATATAGATTCGTCTTCATTTGCATAAACTTTAACTTGGATTTTCTCTATCAAACTTGGTTCATTTCGTAAAGAATTCTGTACAATATGAGAACATACATCATGAGTTTTCTAAGCCGTTTAACAAACTCGCAGATCGTRTTTTRTCGGGTCTAAAACCACTCGGCTGCGCCTCGTGTTTTATACCCGATAAAACACTCCTGCTCGTTTATTAAACATTACATAGAATGCTTCAAAAACCTTTTAAACATTAAACTGTTTTTAAAGGGAAATGAGGAGTGCTTTGAGTGATTGAATTGGAGTCGCCCGGGTTTTTGGGTTGTTTCAATCAAATTTCCAAAGGTCTGATCTAGTACTGAGATTTTTGATCGATGGAAGCCTTAAAGCCCATAGGTCTTGCGCTGTGTTGGTGACGTAATGATAAATGACAATGACAATGACAGAATTTCGTCCCTGCAACAGGTTGCAAGAAATCAAAGTAGTTTGATAGTTTGAATTCGTGCATCTGATCGTGCTGCAATATGCACGAGGTGCATATTGCAGCGTGGTATGTACTTACGACAACAGATATTAACCAATAAGCTCCTATAATTTCTGGGGAACATTGCAACATTACTGTGTATTTACGACAACAGATGTTAACCAATGAGCTCCTATAGTTTCTGGGATAACTGATAAAACATCAATCTGGATTCTTGATGTTAAATCTGTATTATATTGTACTACTACATATCTTTACCTTGGGCTTAATTTCATTTAAGACCACGTGTCATTATTTTGAAATCTTGGTTTAACGATTGCGCATGACAAGACACGTGAAGAGATGCAACTCAAACAAAGAATCTTATTCACGAAAAAATAATGTGTGGTCTGATATGCGAAAATATTACCTAATGAAGCCTATAAAGTGACATAACTATAACCAAAAAAACTATAACCAAACTCATAGACTCGAGCTCGTCTTTGCTACCTTTTGAGTCTTCATTTGTCCAATTCTTTATATCTTCTACATGGATTACTATTCTTCATGGCCTTGGTGCTAGACTTTATACTATGTCCTTTAGACTTCATATCTAGTTACCACGGTCATAGCCAGAATTTCATTGGAGATTGTTTTGGGACTTGGCCTTGTTCCATAGAGCTTTTTCTGTTTGATCATACAGTTAGGGGTTAGTGTGTGGCATGCAGTGGAGTGGAATGAAGATCTGTCTTGTGGTATATATATACATAATATGGTATGTTTTATTGCTTTGTTTCGTTACTATACTATGCCGTGCTATACCATGCCATGCCAAGCTTTCCCAAGTTAATGTTATTATTGGCATAGAATTATTTTACAATTATATGTTATAATCATAAGATGTTACGATGAGAGACGTATGTTAGGTGTAGTTTTGGTAGCAAATGTTGTAAGGTAGCAAATATTGTATGGTAGCAAATGTAGTATGGTAGCAAAT